AAAACGTGTTTTTGGGTGTTTTTACCCCTAATTTTCTCTGAAACCTGACGTGCTAGAGACTTGAATTTGTGCTCAAATTAAAGCTTGGTTCCTCCCCTACAAAAACCATATAGAATGGTTTTGAAAAAAATTTTATTAAGTTTTTGAAAAAGAAGGTTTTAAGCTTCCAATTCCTAGTGATTATGATGAAAATGCAAATTATTTAATTACATTGAGCTGAGCTCATACAAATCACTACTTGACTGTTTTTTTCATAAGGTTACTTCAAATTTTTGATTTTACGTCCGCCATCTTGGATGCGCCATTTTGAATTTTATAAATGTGACATTGGATTCGTAAACACCGACCCCAAAAACAGTCAAGTAGTGATTTGTATGAGCTCAGCTCAATGTAATTAAATAATTTGCATTTTCATCATAATCACTAGGAATTGGAAGCTTAAAACCTTCTTTTTCAAAAACTATAAAATTTTTTTCAAAACCATCCTATATGGTTTTTGTAGGGGAGGAACCAAGCTTTAATTTGAGCACAAATTCAAGTCTCTAGCACGTCAGGTTTCAGAGAAAATTAGGGGTAAAAACACCCAAAAACACGTTTTTTGGAATCTTTACCCCCACTTTTCTCAAAATCATGACGTGATAGGCACTTTTCGACTTCAGATTCGTGTTCAGCGCACAAAAATACGTCGGATATCACTCTGATATTAAAAAAAAAAAAGTGTATTTTGCAGACCTGTGTAATTAAACTTAAAGTTAGAGGTTATAAGGAAAGCTAACCGAGGCTGGTTGATTGAGTATTAGGTTAGCATTAAAATAAGATAATTGATTAACGATGATAATACATTGCGGAACAGGAACTAAGCTAACGGTACGATCATCCGTTGAGGAACTTTGGATGACTAAAGAGTCTAGGTCGTTTGGCTATAATATAACTTTCCCTTAAATACCTCGTTAAACGATGAGGTTATTACGTGAGTGGGGGGAAGGAAATGTGTAGACGTATTCTTTGGCTGAACAAGTGTCTTCGTTGGATCCTGGTGATTTGCTGAGCCTTGATTAATTTCACATGGTTTGATGGGGGCAATCATCTCTTTATTGTCCATCCAATCGATCGTTGCCAATCTAACTGTAACGTCCCGCGACGTCCTCGATGACTCGTTGATACAGCGATGTGAAACCCTTCAATCAATGTTCGCTCAGAGCGACTATGTTCGCTCAAAGCGACTATGTTCGCTCAAAGCGACTATGTTCGCTGCAAGCGACCTTCAAATAACGCAACGTTCCGTTCTTAAAATAACTTTTATACAACACGTCGTCAGAGGTAAGTATATGCCGCAATGCCGGCTTCCGATCGATACATACTCTATTCCGTATCATGAGCAGGGTCGCAACAAAGGCTTCCTGCGCATGCTGAGCGAGCGTCCGTGGATCGTTGACTACAATCTGTGCCAGACGACCTCAGCCGTTGATCCACGGATGAATATGGCCCTTCTCGATTAGCGGACTAGCAACATTCCGTAGTCAAGGACGTCTCCTTGGTGGAAATAGCAAGCTGCTACCAATAGCACGGACAAATGAATCCGACCAAAAGCAGTAATGCTTCCGAGAAGTAGCGCGAGACAGCAACAAAACCGCACATTCATGCACACAAAAGACCGGGCGCTCGGGACCGCAGCGCCGCTCTGCACTTCAGCGCACTAGAAGTGCCGCACGCCAGCGCCCGATCAGCGCCATGGCTGCTACTTATCGACATGATTGCGCGTCAACGTTTGAACTTCACGAGTTCGCAACATTCCGCCCGCCTTCGTTAATTACCTTTAACGAAATGTTCTACATAACGTCAGCTTGAATGGGAAGCGGACATAGTTTGACTACCGGTCTCTTTAAGGTAGAAACTTGAGTCTTGATAGTCACTACCCGTACTAAGCCATCCTCACCAGGATGAACAGCAATGACTCTAGTTAGTGGCCATTTAGCAGGCGGATATCTCTCGTCCACAACAAGCACCATGGAACCTATCCCGATCGAATCAGAATCAATCTTCCACTTGGATATAGCGTGATATCGCTGTAAGCATTCTTTGGACCATCTTGTCCAAAAGCAATCAACCATTTTCGTATTAGTTGCCATCTGGATAGTCTTGGAGTACACGTATCCTCTAAAGATGGTTCTGGGACAACATTAGGCGCGCAGCCCATGAGGAAGTGATCAGGGGTCAAGGCGTTTAAATCTTCTGGGTCATTACTCATTGGGGTTAGTGGTCTCGAATTGAGAATTGCCTCGATCTGAACGAGTAGAGTGTTCATCTCTTCATAGGTCAGTAACGCGTCTCCTATCACTCGACGAAGGTGGAATTTCAAGGATTTTACTCCTGCCTCCCATTTACCGCCAAAATGCGGAGCTGATAGTGGATTAAAATTCCACTGTGTACCGTTATTTGCTAGCAAGGAAGCGAGTTGCTGAGATTCGGATGTAGCTTCGGAGAATAATCGTTGCAACGTAATATCTGCACCCGTAAAATTAGTGCCACAGTCACTCCATAATGACATACAGATTCCTCTCCGCCCCGTGAATCGTTTATAGGCAGCTATGAACGCATCAACTGTGTAATCAGTAACCAACTCCAGATGAATCGCGGAGGTAGAAAGACAAACAAATAGAGCAACATAGGCCTTATACGTTCGAGCGTTTTTTCCCTTCCAGGTTTTAATGGAGAGTGGTCCAGCATAATCAATACCCGAATGGAGAAATGGACGAGATTGTGTAACTCGTGCCTTTGGAAGCTGACCCATCAACTGCTGCGCCCTTTTCTGACGGAAACGAGTGCATTGAATGCATTTAAGTATATGACTCTTGATAGGGACACGACCCCCTATGATCCAAAATTCCTCACGCAGAGTGGATAACATGATCTGAGCTCCCCCATGCAAGGTTCATTTATGCGTATCTGCTATGACTAATGTAGTGAGTGGAGAACACTTCGGTAAGATATAGCCGGATGTCTGGCTTCCATCCCTAGAGATGATTCTTGAAGGCGACCCCCAACCCGTAAGATACCGTCAGCATCTTTGAACGGCGTAAGTCGCGAAAATGGGTGTGAAGGTTGAAAGTGTTTTCCGCTAGAAATCAACTCAAGCTCTTTTGAAAAGACCGCTGATTGTACGGTTTTTACCCAAAATTGTTTCGCCGAATCTAATTCAGTGGTAGTGAGAGGATGCGTCAGAGATGACTTAGGAGCTTTGCGAAACCTGTCAATAACTCGTCGGCAAACGGCAGTAATCCTAAGTAATTTCTTTAAGGAAGAGTATCTCGATAGAAGATTCCAATATTCGAACGGTTGAACGCGAATCGTAACCACTTTAATGGGTTTTTCTTCAAGGTTTTCAGTGCTTTCGGTAGCGATGAGATTAGTTGGCCAATCAGAAGACGGTTCCGTTAACCACACGGGCCCGCTCCACCAAATCTCCTTATCTAATAGTTGACTAACTGTTAAACCTCTTGTTGCCAAGTCGGCAGGATTCTCCTGTCCTGCTACGAATCTCCATTGTGCTTGTGGCAAAGATTCCTGAATAAAGCAGACTCTATTATGGACGAAGTCCTTCCAACGTGAAGGATGGTTACTTATCCAGGTGAGCGTCACAGACGAGTCAGTCCGTAAATAAATGGGAATGTGATTCTGACTCAAGATCTCCAATATGTGTTTCACTAGCTTGGTCAGGAGAACCGCGCCAGCGAGCTCAAACCGCGGTATGGTCAACCGTTTCAAGGGAGCCACTTTAGTCTTTGAACCAATTAACTTCGTATGGATAGTGCCATTGCTAGAGGTTAATCGAGTATAGACGACTGCTGCAAATGCATGCGGTGAAGCATCAGCGAATCCGTGTATTTCAAATGTTCGATCGGAACTCAAGCCTATCCATCTAGGAAAACTAACAGAAGTTAAATTCTGAAGATCGCTAACGAACGAGGTCCATTTGGAAGCTATCGTAGAAGGAACCGGGTCATCCCATCCCAGTTGAATTGACCAAACCTCTTGCATTAATATCTTCGCCTTTATAATAACAGGTGAGAGAAAACCAAGCGGATCGAACAACCTTGCAATTTTAGACAATATAATTCGTTTCGAAATGATCTCCGTGTGTTTGTAGTGAAAATTAAATCGGAAAATCCGTATCTAAATGCCAATATAGTCCAAGTGACAGAACAACTGAGTTCTCCCCAACTGGTACAGATGAGCTAAAAATTCTATCCTGTTCCGGTATGGATTTTAATACTTCAGGGTGATTACTAACCCATTTCTGCAAGTGAAACCCGCCCGCCATGCAGAGTTGGTCTACCTGCTGAAGAATCATTTGTGCCTGATCGATAGAATCTCCTCCTCCGAAGAGGTCATCCACATACCGGCCCTGTGTCAATACAGAAACCGCTAAGGGGAATTTCTCTCCTTCATCCGTAGTTAGTTGATACATGACCCGAAGAGCTTGATAGGGAGCGCAAGCCAATCCGTACGTTACGGTTGTAAGTTGATAGGTTAATGAGCGACCCTCGTGGTCTATCCATAAAATTTGCTGATATTTCCAGTCTTCTGGATGGATCTTTATCTGACGGAACATCTTCTCAACGTCAGCTGAAAATACATATCGAAATTGTCTAAACCAAATCAAGACCTTGAACAAGTCAGTTTGCATTTTGGGTCCAACATGAAGTAAGTCGTTCAGTGATATTCCCGTCGTAGTCTTGCTGGATCCATTAAACACTACCCTTAGCTTAGTCGTGATACTACTGTCCTTTACTACTCCATGATGAGGTAGATAATATCCAGAAGTTGATTCTGACTGAGAATCTGGTATCGGTGTCATATGTCGCAGTATTGCGTATTCAGCTACAAAATCTGAGTACAATCTTGCGTAAGCTGGATCCGAGGCGAACCTCCTATTCAACTGATGTACAATACGAATGGCTTTCGCCTTCGAATCTCCTAATTGCTTTGTGGAACGCTTGAACGGCAACCCTACCACGTATCGGCCTTGTTGATCCCTTGATAATGCGTCTTGACAGAAATCTTATGCGGATAAGTCGAGAATTTTCCATGCCGAGTCTTCTCGAAAGCTTGCAGTGACCGAAGTCTGGATAATAGAAACTCGGTGAATTGATTCCACGTAGGTGGCTCCTTGGCGGAACCCAAATGCTGCTCCCATGCTTTGACCGATTCAGAATCCAAGCGTTGAACGGCAATAAAGACAAGGAAGTCATCCCATTGTCCTACTGGTCGTTGTAGATTTTCCAAAGCTCTGTATATTTGCATGATGTTAGTGTACAAGAGCTCCATCTCCTGAGCTGATTCCTTGGACATACGTTTTAAGTTAAGCAAAGAGTTCAAAGTCGAATTCACCAACATTCTGGTATTTTCATAAAAGGCAATTAATGCCTCCCACGCTCGTTGGAAGTTATCCCCCGTAATTGACATATTCCTTAACAATTGAGCAGCATTGCCGACCAAACTAGTTTTCAAATACTGGAGTTTTTCTACCGCAGACAAAGAACGATTAGCTATCACAAGAGATGTAAATAAATCTTTAAAAGAGAGCCACTCTTCAGGGTTGCCATTAAATTTCGGAATCTCTATGCGAGGTAACTTAGTGTGATGACAATATGAAGTACCTGTCTGAACAGGGAAATCCAGGCGACCCGAAGAAGATCCGGTCAAGGCTCCATGGTCAGAATCGAATAATAAACTGATACGCTCCGTAGACTCTAAGTAAAGTTCCCGGGTAGTGACAAACAAGTTATCCAAGAAATAAGAATGACTCCGTATGTACAATCTATCCTCAACACTTAACTCTTTCAAGGCTATTCTAATTGCCTCGTGAACTATGGAGAACTTCTCCCAATCATCTTTAAGAGCAGCAAGTCGTGCCTGAATTCTTTGAGAATTCAAGTTAGTTAATCCTACCTTAGTTAAGTCTTCGTAAGAACTAGCAATCAAGTTGTTCAGTGCGACCTGCTGCTCTAAGCGAACCTCCACATGTGCTAGTCTCATCCCGCAACGGCTTGTATAGATATCTCTATATATCCGGCTCGAAGGACCAAATGTTCGATAGCATTCGTTTGATTAAAATGTGTCAATCGGAGCGGAATGAGACTCACACTTTGTTTCATATAAGTAATTGCTACACTTGTATTTAATATGAAGTCGGTCGCTATTGCTGATCGTCGAACAACGGTATGATTACTTTCGAATAACATTAACCCTGAATTATAATTGTACGCAGAGAGATCGTGACGCATCGACTCTTGCTCCCAATAAAACCATCGATTCACCCCGAAAGCATCGTGATTATATTAATAAGATGTGAAATCCCAGTATCAAGTATAAATTATGTTAGTTTAAGACACAGAAACTCACCCCTGTACTGACATTAAATCACAAAACTTGAGTATAATAACTCAATCCCCCAGTGATGAATATTTCGTTTGTGAATTAAACGTTCGAGAGATATCACATCAGTGGATATACTGGGAACTTATCGATGTGAATCGAGGAATCACCATTACTTACAACTATTGGATACCACCTTACTTAGTTAAAACCTTAAATAAATCTTATTACTAATGAGCATGAATAATTAAACTTAAAGTTAGAGGTTATAAGGAAAGCTAACCGAGGCTGGTTGATTGAGTATTAGGTTAGCATTAAAATAAGATAATTGATTAACGATGATAATACATTGCGGAACAGGAACTAAGCTAACGGTACGATCATCCGTTGAGGAACTTTGGATGACTAAAGAGTCTAGGTCGTTTGGCTATAATATAACTTTCCCTTAAATACCTCGTTAAACGATGAGGTTATTACGTGAGTGGGGGGAAGGAAATGTGTAGACGTATTCTTTGGCTGAACAAGTGTCTTCGTTGGATCCTGGTGATTTGCTGAGCCTTGACTAATTCCATGGTTTGATGGGGGCAATCATCGCTTTATTGTCCATCCAATCGATCGTTGCCAATCTAACTGTAACGTCCCGCGACGTCCTCGATGACTCGTTGATACAGCGATGTGAAACCCTTCAATCAATGTTCGCTCAGAGCGACAATGTTCGCTCAGAGCGACAATGTTCGCTCAGAGCGACTATGTTCGCTCAGAGCGACTATGTTCGCTCAAAGCGACTATGTTCGCTGCAAGCGACCTTCAAATAACGCAACGTTCCGTTCTTAAAATAACTTTTATACAACACGTCGTCAGAGGTAAGTATATGCCGCAATGCCGGCTTCCGATCGATACATACTCTATTCCGTATCATGAGCAGGGTCGCAACAAAGGCTTCCTGCGCATGCTGAGCGAGCGTCCGTGGATCGTTGACTACAATCTGTGCCAGACGACCTCAGCCGTTGATCCACGGATGAATATGGCCCTTCTCGATTAGCGGACTAGCAACATTCCGTAGTCAAGGACGTCTCCTTGGTGGAAATAGCAAGCTGCTACCAATAGCACGGACAAATGAATCCGACCAAAAGCAGTAATGCTTCCGAGAAGTAGCGCGAGACAGCAACAAAACCGCACATTCATGCACACAAAAGACCGGGCGCTCGGAACCGCAGCGCCGCTCTGCATCCACTTCAGCGCACTAGAAGTGCCGCATGCCAGCGGCCGATCAGCGCCATGGCTGCTACTTATTGACATGATCGCGCGCCAACGTTTGAACTTCACGAGTTCGCAACATTTTGTGTATGTATTTATACATTATAATACACATAAAATGTAATTGTACATATTCACTAATATATCTTCTTACAGTTATATAGTTATACAGTTATACAGTTATATGTTAGAATTAAACTGAATACTTAATTAATGTGTATACATGCGCACACATTAGGTGCATCCAGAAGCATGACCGCTCACTGAGCGCTCAGTGAGCTCTTGCATCTGATTGATATATTCCGTTAGATCTAAAATTATAGACCAATGTACCCATTGTAATACATATAAAGTTCAAATATTGGCTGCGTATAAACAGACATGGAGAATATCTGCACGAATACCTATGTGTAAATAATTTTTATCTGTAATGTGTATATAGTCACTCATTATAATATGTACGTACATACATACAATATCCTAATATTGTATATATAAGTACACATGTATCAGTAAGAACTGTCTATTGGGAGGATCCCGTTTGCCTACAGTTCTGATTGTACACACCACTCATATCAACTGGTGCCTAGTAATTTTTCACTGTTTTGCCAATGAGATTATTTTATTTTTAAATTGGCCAATCAGCGATACATGTGTGCAATATGCGATGTGTGCAATCGGAGCCCTCCCATATGTAATACATCTATGTATTGATTGTACATGTTATTATCCTGTTATACTGACCTAAAATGGCATTGAATTTAGAAAAAAGTGCTACTACGGCCGTGTATTGATATACACTATCGATACTGAAAATCTGAATTTATGTATATTATAGATTTACAATATTTTTAGTGTATATTGTATATTACACACATATCAGAGTAGTATCTAAATATTTTATTATAACTTTTATTTCTTTTTATTAGAAATAACAAGAACAGATGGAGCAGCTATAAATACACGTGCAATGTATACATGCATGATAAAAATACAAGGGTATGCTCATCAATTGTCTAAAACTCGTTCAGCTTGCGCATGTCCTTGCCTACGTCATATTCGGGTACGCGTTGATTGGTCGGTTCTGATTCGGGTGCAATCGGTGGTTATCGGTCGTAATTTATCATGGCGTCCATGGCGTAGTGCACGTTGTCATCGGTAGAAGTTAATGTTAAAAATATTTTCACGATGACCTGCATAGTGAAAGGATGCGGCAATTATATGAAAAAAACAAAAAAAACTGAGGGAAGTAAAATTAAATATTTTACCTTTCCAAAACAATCTGAAATTGCTGAACAGTGGCGTAAGCCACTCGTTGTGACGTAAGCAAGGACAAAAATCTGATTGGTCATGCGCATGAGCATACCCTTGTCTTTTTATCATGTATACATGTATTTATTAAC